AGAGATCATTATCTCTTTCCTCCTTTTTAACGCTGATAACTTCGGAATTTTAACGCTTTTACGCTAATAACACTAAAATAATTTTACATATTGGATTGCCGGAAATCTTGCAGTTTTCTTCCTGAGCTCAAACCCGGTTAAAAGAATGAGAACTTGCTTTATAAAATAATTTGTTTGGAATTAAATAGATATGTTTCATATGATTTCAAAGTGAAATAATAAACAATAGAAGTGAAAGTTTTGGTGGACAAAAAAGAGGCACTCCGACATTTGGACTTTTCAAAATCCCAGAGCTTTAAATATTGCTAGAGGTTAACTAGGTTGCATGTTGATTACGTATCATATCCGTCGTATTACTCGTAATCAGTATATCGCTCAGTGAGGGCTTACTGTGGAATTACGTGAATTAAAAGACAGATGGGTCAAACTCACAAATTGGTTGAAAAGTGGTCTGTTGCTATCAACTGCATCTTTGTCATGAAAATGTCAATCACTGTACACTAAAAGGCCTGACTGTAGGGTTACGGTAGGCAGACAATAGATGGATCATCACCGATCTGCTTTTTGCGTATTTTACAAAATGGCCATGCCAAGGGTATGGTACTCGTAATCAGCATTTTAAAAAAACCTATTAGGCCCCTTTCGATCAAATTGGTTTGAACTTTGAACTGATTCTACAGTAGGTCCCGTTGAGCGGAAGCATATGACATTCGTGATTAGCATACCAAGCAACCCCACCAGACCCAGCTGTAGCGAATTCCAAATTCCTGGAATTTAAAAAGCACAACAGCCAAAGAAGCTCTTTATTGTGCTCCAAAACTTTCACTTCAGTGATTTTTAACATAAAGAAAACCTGTCTGCTTTGATTACCAATCGAATCATCTTGTATAGCAAGATGCACCTCTCTCTATTACTATGTCAATTAATGACGATAGTTTGATTTCTTCGGACTTTTATCAGCTTACTGTACGTTATCCAACGACCCGATGACTAATATCTCAGTTCATGACGTGTTCATTTGATCGCAACAGCGTTTCAACAATAGAATGAACAAAATGTCCTTCTAAAAACCTCTTGACTTTTTTATCCCAGTTGCTTGACTCACTTGCACGTAACTCATAATCACATTTGACTCCACAAATTTTTAGAGTGGGAGCATTTATTGCTTCAAAGCCTGTGGGACAGACGTCAACGTCAACCAAACGAGTAGGGAATTTCCGCCAAAAACCTAGGTTGTAGAAAAGTGCGCCTCAACACCAGTATGTGGCTTTTTGTTGTATCCTCATACTATGTTTCTCTCGCCAAGATGACATAAACTAGGAACTTGTCTTTGTAAGATTTCTATGAAAGATGGTTGGGTTAAAACACATATGAAAACGAAGGTCACATTTGATATGAGAGATCGCACTGTATTGAGTAATCTTTATCCTTTTCCTCATTAGCAAATGCGGCAAATGCTTCGCTAACCTTGTACACAATCGTCGTTGTACTAAGTGAACATATGTAGCAGTCAACACTTTGTTTGGCCATATTGTTGACAGCTTGCTTTCGAAGTAAGTAGATATTACGCTCGAATCGCTCCGGATCTTCCGCCACATAATCAGCTGTGACAAAAACCTGGAAATGAAGGGTACAGACCATTATGGCAGAAAGTGAATGTCTTATTCACTGCACTTAGAGCTAAAAGTTTTCTCAACAATGAGAGAATATGAGGGCGCAAGCTATACATGAGTGTCCAAAATCACTACATCGCGCTAATAAGTGGGTAATGGGTTCGATTATTTTCCCGGGTCAAACATCGTGGTTGGTTATATGTTAAACTATACGTAGACCTCACACGTGAAGGATATAATTAAGAAGTTGAGACTGTTTAATGAGACAGCTGTAAGTCAATATGTAGCTGTAGCAGGAAAATGAATAGCAGATAGGATCAGATTGATAAGAAACAAAAATTGCTTCTAAAACTAAAAATGTAACTTAAAAACCAAATTCCTACTCTTAGAATTAGAAGATAGCTTTAAAACCATGAATCCTCCCCTACCGGTTTTTATTAAAAGTTTACAGTCAGCATACATAACTAAATACTATCCTTTGCCTTTAAAAAAACCCGCTTATATGTGGCTGCTAGGGTTTGACGGAATGTTGAAGAAAAATCTGCGTTTTTGAAGGACAGATACTTCACTCCTGAATGAATGAGTTCCCAGTGTACTCAATGAATTATACAAATTAAGTCGAAAGCTTGCTTCGCGAAAAACCTAGCAAGCAGAGGAAGTTGAAACATCTGCGATGGCAAAATAAACTCTTGACACTTTTGAAGCTTGCTAGTGTATAATTAGTAACAAAGACTTCCACCACAATCTACTCAAGGGGATTCACAACTTTGTAGTGATAACTCAGACGCCAGAAAGACTCTTCACTACCTATAAAACTGAAACTTTCATGCAGCATGGAATCTCTAAATATCATTCTAGTAGTTGCTAACATGAATTGTGAAGCATAAAATCGCAATTTGGGCTACTATGCAAGGATTTTGTGAAGACTGGCTGAACTTTTCTCAACATCCCTGAAATCTAAAGAAACCTAGCTTCAAATAAACGTTGCTCTTGACACTGCAAAGCAGTAAGGCAATTCTAACATCCTTAACGATTCACGGCAAACTCCCTGAGCAAAAGGTGAGAGTGTAAACAAATTTGGAAGTCTGTGGAAAACTATAAGTTTTACTAAGAGCGGTAATATGAGAAAATTATCATATTTTGACATGTTCGTCCCATTTAGCTACTTAAAAGTCGTAAAAATTTTCTATCTAAGCCGATTTTAAAATAGCTATTGTTTTGCTAAGCATGCAAATTAAGTTCTCTCAAATATCAGACGAACTTCAATCAAATAATTCATTTCATTCTCACATTCCAATAAACAATGTTTTTAGATGAACTATTTGGGGATCGTAACTATTTGATAATCAAATCTGATGTAATTTACCCTCGACGAACTAAACTGAAATTGGTAAGTGAACATATCTTATTTCCAAACTTTTTTTCTTAAAAAGCGGATCTTATATACTGCGAGGACACACATAAACATACGATTTGCATTATTAGCTTACTTTGGCCCTGTCTTCACCACATGGTTCTCGCACAGCTCTACTTAGGATGAGGAACGAAGCTTAGAAAACAAATGACAGAATGGGATCTAAACACTATATCATGTTATTCTGCTTCACCGCACAGTACGGCGGTTTCGAAAGGCAATTTAGATTAGTAGGAATGATATCACTTCGAATCAGAGCTTTTATTAAAATACATTCATCAAGATGTCGCGCCTTCCTTCTGCATGTC